TTTACAAATGCTGAACTTCACTCCTGGGACAACTTGGACACGCTCCGACAATCCCACAGATAAATAAGAAAGAAGAAATGACACAGATTACATTATAACTGAGAATAACTTGACTCGCCTTGCCTGGAAAAACTCTGCAGATAAATATTACCTTGCTCTTTAATCTAAATCAAGTGTGTCATCCTCATATTTTATCTCACCATAATACTAGCCCATGAACTCAACAGGGCTGTTACCACTTCTTCATACTATTATACTATTCTTTATGCCTACAAGAACAGCTCTTTGTCCCTCCTGTTCTCTATGAGTAAAGCCAGCTACAAATGATTACTGCAAGTGACAATCCCACGGATCCTTCTGTCTCCTGCAATGCTGTGTTAGCCAATGATTGGAGCAAATCAAAATTTACAAATTACAAAGATGATGCTGATGATTATCTAATTTTAATCTACCCAAGTACATTTAATCTACTCTGCATAGATTAAAATTAATCAGTCCCTTGCAAACACTTGCTACTTTAGACAGGTTCCTTTTTTTTTTTTTTTTCCTTTAAACTAAATTCAAATTACTTCGGAGATATGCTTAAGAAATTGAGAGATGCAGATATTTTATTATAAAATCATCACAGTTGTTCACCTTTTTTAACTCAAAAAGGATATGTTTAGGGCAGAAAGAACATGGCAGTGTCCAGAAATACCCTGAAGACGACTGCAAGGAACCATACCCCAACTGTCCCTTCATTTCTTTCACATATTCATTCTGTAAGCATATCTGAACGTTTTAATAGGCTGAAACTTATCGGTTACCCAAGTCACTTCAATCAAACTTTCATCAATATCTATTATCATATTTCCATACTTGTATTATTATGATCTGCATTGCACTAAATTAGCAACTTAAACCAATTTCAGAACACATCCCACCCCCAAATATCTAATTCAACAAAAATATCATTACTTTAAATCAATAAATAGGTCGCTGTAACTTTCCTGGGTAACAGGGTCGCTTCTATAAACCCACATGCTTACAAAGCACATCTCCAAAGTCAAGAAAACCTGTTAGGCCCACATTTTTCCTTCTCGAATGAATGCAGAATTGATACTTCTCAATAGGGTCAATAGAACCATAGAATCATAGAACTGTTAAGGGAAAGACCTCTAAGATCATCTAGTCCAACCATCAGCCCATCCCCACCATGCCCACTGAACTATGTCCCTCAGTGCCCTCAACAGAGGGCAATCAAAGATTGTATATCCAGAGGCAGTGAATCGTGTCATGCCTTCTCTCTGCAAAACCCTACAATATAAAGTGTTACAAGAAATCTAACACTATGTTATAGGTATATAATATAATATAATATGCTTTGTATAAACACAAGTGACCAACGCCACATAATCATGTTCCCTCTCCTGCTTTTTTGCTTAATTAAACAACAAGCCAACCATCTCCGTTTAACAAATTGCTAGAACAGAGCTGAATTCTAATGCCATAATAATGGATCCTTTCTGTCTGTTAGCATATATTTACTGCTCTATAATCTCCTGGTCATTTCTGTCATGCTTAGTATTTCTGATTAATCTTTTTCCCTGGGGGATGAAAAGACACCAGAGAGGTTAGAAGACTTTAGCTTTTGTTATTCTGAAAATATGAAAAAAAGAAAAAGAAATTCATCAGTTTAACCCACAGATGAGTAACTTCAACTAGTCTGCTTGAGTCATGACCAACGGTTATCACCACAGTGGTTACCACCAGAAGACCTTCTGATCCATGTGGGTGTCTACGTAATTATAAATAAGCTCAGGGTTCAGGAGCCTCCATAGGCTACAAACAGTGAGTGGGCCCCTCACTGCAAGAAAGATATTGAGGCCCTGGAACGTGTTCAAAGGAGGGCAACAAAGTGAGGGGTCTGGAACACAGGCCATATGAGGAGAGGCTGAAGGAGCTGGGAATGTTCAGCCTGGAGAAGAGGAGGCTCAGGGGAGACCTCATTGCTCTCTATAACTTCCTGAAGGGAGGTTGTAGTGAGCTGGGGGTCGGCCTCTTCTCTCGTGTCATTAGTGATAGGACCAGGGGGAATGGCTTCAAGCTACGGCAGGGGAGATTCAGGCTGGACATGAGGAAGTATTACTTTTCAGAAAGGGTGGTCAGGCACTGGAATGGATGCCCAGGGAGGTGGTGGAGTCACCGACCCTGGGGGTGTTCGAGGAAAGACTGGATGTTGTGTTGAGGGACATGGTTTAGTGGGAGCTATTGGGAATAGGTGAACGGTTGGACTGGGTGATCTTTTAGGGCTTTTCCAACCTTGGTGATTCTATGATTCTATGATTCTAAACATACTGTGAAATCATGTTCAGCTGAAGTGTCAAGCACAGAAAGGGATTTGTTCTCTTTCGGATGGTCATTTGTAGGCAGGATGGTCTGCTATAACAGAGTCACATTTTTGCCACACAACTTGCAACTTACAGGACTTCAGTTTCCTCTAACCACTAACTCATCACACATCACAAGCTCTACATTTCCCATCTTGTGACTTCATTTTACCTGGCTGTCAGCTTAATTGAACCTGAAGAATTGTTTTTTGTGCCCTGCCCTCCGTTTATGAAATCAAACTCATTATCACAAATACTCATTTGGCAATCGAAGAAACATTTCTTGCAAGTTGTGTTCCTGGAAAGTTCTGCTGTGTGCCCAGGCCTTGGCATCAAAGAGGAGGCTACATCAAACTGTTGCATCTGACCTCTGTCTATAGGAGGTTTTCCTCCTTCTAAGGTGTAGCACATGTTGCCTCCAATCTACACCAAGAAGAAAGGACAAAACTAGACCAGATTGTTGTGTTATGACCTGTTTTTTCTCCACTCTGCCAAGATTTAACTGTAGCTGTCCAGAAAATGTAGGGAAGTGGTCCAGGCAATTTCATATTGGTTAGCCAGATTCTTTCAGAAGAGCTCCTCAGTGAGACAGAACCTAACCTCAGGATGACTTTGAAGTTTATAAAAAGAACCGTCATTTAGGTGAAAGCCTCTAAACTCAACAGAATGAAATTGGACGGACAGGGAGCTGCAGCTCTGTAAGAAACAGAATCAAACTGACTCATCACATTATGAATTTTTACTGCACTGTTCGTGCTAACACACTGTATTACTGACAGGCCCCTCTGGCTCTCTGCAGTTTCACAGCCATGAAACTAGCCAGGGAATCCACCATCAACTGTAAAATTATAAGACAGGAAGAAAAAAAATTGTGTGGAATACGTAATTGCAAGAAGCAGCTCTTAATGGAATGAAGCTGGCAAGCTAAGCTGAAGCACAGGAACAGTTATTCCTTCGCATGCTGTTCAGCCGCTGCCTTCTCTATCATTCACTTCTATCTACTGGGGCAATAATTCTCTGCTGTACATCATTTAAAACCAATAAAAAGATGTGCTATGAGAGCCAGGTCTAACCAAGTGGAAAAGGAGAAGAAAAGTATCGAGAGGGAGATAATTAACTCTTTTAGCTTCCAGGCCGTTTTATGCAGACAGTAAAATAGGAAGAGGCAAACGAATTCCCCACTGTTTTTTCCAGCTAGGCTTGCTGGCCCCTGCAGGGGCACAAGGTGCTTGCTGCTCTTGCAAGTCCTCTGTGAATGACAGCTGTATCCCCTGCCCTTGAGCTTTATAGCTGAAGCAGCACTGGGGGTCACCAGCAGGTCTCAGAGCACTCTGCACCTCCACCAAAGCAGCCTGTCAGCTCTCCAGCAGTGAGCATTTTGGGGGTATGAGGCAGCTACGTGAGGCTGGATCAGACACCAGGGAGCTCCTCCTGAAGCCCCCACAGGAGCCTCCAGCTGCAACAGATGCGACACAGGCCATTGCTGTTAATTATCTTTCAGAATGAGGGGGGAAAGTTGAGTAAATGAGATCAGATCAATCAAGTTTAAATTATTCAATGTCTTAATATTTCTGAAGGGGACTTCTATTCGATTACTGAGCTCCTCCATCTCAGTTAATAATTAAATAATATGCTGGCAGGCACAATGCAGCATGATCATTTCTATTATTACTCATGATGATATCTGGTGCTCCAGTACATATGTAGCTGGGAGTTAGTAGTTTTGGCAGATCATTAATTTCCCAGTTTAAATAAAAGCTTTAAAACCTTGTTGCCTGTAGTTAGGGCATAACCAAACATCACAAGCAGTGATGTGTGTAAGGCTGTCTAGATACACAGCTGAAGATGGAGGTAGACTCACCTTTGCTTCCCTAAACTCATATTCTCCAGGAATTCTGCAATGTTGCATTTTTGAATTTATTAGCTGACATTACATTGCAAAAGCTGTTGTAAATTAAGGTGTCTGACATTCGGTAGTGAGAGGTATGAGGCAGCACTGTAAAGCCCAGGACAAGTCCTTTGTGGGCAGGAATACATGCAGAAATGGTGTCATTAGCAACAATGATCACTTGTCTTGCTTAATGTACGTGGCCCAAAAAAGCACAAGTTTCACCTTCAGAGTAGCTGAAATTCTCAGGATGAGCAAAATACCAAAGACCTGTGAGTACTCAATTCTCCAAGCTGGCATGCTTTCAGCTGTTCCAACTGAGAAGTACAAGAAAAGACACAGGATTGCTGCCACTGTTAAAGATCTGGAAAGCACTATCACCATGCCTTTCTCAAAACTGCAGCCTGCAAGCAAGTAAAGGCTGTTTTGTCAATTACTATCAGTTACAACCTGATGTGTATCCAAATTCAACCTGTTTAGGAAGTCACTTTTGCTCTCCAATCACACCCAGTTAAGGAAAGAAAAAAACCATTCTCTCAGACATAGAGAGGACGATCATGCAGATTACTACATCATTACACCTGCCATCTCCCTAAATTAAATCAACTTTCACAAACAGAATTAAGAATTGTGCAACAAAATATTACTTAGATTAATCCATTTCACTAGAAAAATTAGTTTACCACTACATTTTGAAGCAGACAGAAAACGAAAAGAAAAATGACATTCCCAAGCTTGCTCACCTCCTCAGCCCCAGCAGTTGGTGTAACAGCCAATCTGGGCTCTGGTGCTAATTTCACAACATCAGCCAAGGGCACATTTGTCTCAGCTACAAGTCCTGCAACGAGAATCACAATCCTGATCAATGCAAAAAGCAAGATGAGGGATGTCCCTTGACTCCCTGGCAAATTAATACCTTATATTGATCTTCCCCAGTCAGGTCAGCATTCAGGATTGAAGGATAAATGGCAAAAAATCTTACATTCCAGTGCACCAGCCTGGGAAGTGGGGATGCTGTGATTGAGTCTTTGCCAATCACTCAATACATACCCTGGAGAATAGGCAGGCAGCAGAAATGCTATTCAACAATATCAGTAATTATTTATGGTTACAACAGTACAGTAAACAGCAGTGGAAATATGTGGAAGCAAGAGATTCAAGGACAAAATGTGACTAAACTAAAAAGGAAGTGAAAAGAGTGTCAAGAAAGCATGCTGCAAATCATTAAACACATTGATATATAAGGAAGCAGAATAACAAGAGTCCTACTACCACAGCATGTTGCTTTGCAAGTGGATCACACCCTTTTAGGAGTTCCTTGTTAGAACTGTAAGTACCCCAGGTGAACTGTGGAAAACCCTACTTGTACCCAGATGTACACTCTAATGCTATTAAAGAGCCACTGCCATCAATATTTCATTTATATTAGGAAGTCTTTGCTCATACTAAATTCCTTTCCCTGGCCAAAAGTGAGTCATCTGAACACATCAATCAAAATTGCCATTTAGAAACACACAAGGCATGCCCCCAGGGCTTGACTGGCAGAGCACCTGAGCTCAGGAGTCCCTGTGACAGCACAGCATCTGAAATCCTCCCTCAAATGCTCTGTCAACCAAGCCTCGAGATTCCACATGCCAAACTGGCAGAGCGATTTTATATCTTCCATACATATGAAATCACTGAAAAAAAACTATAAATGATAGCTCTACATTCCACTTGTATTCAGGGGCAAAAAGTTTGCTTGTAGCATTATGCACTGGAAGGCTTTTGAGGACTGCTGAAGCAGTAGGCAAAGTTTGAGCACAGAGTTTGGAAATTTAGCCTCCAAGATGCAAAAATAGTCCCACTGTGGCTTAAACACACTGATAACATTACTGCACTGCTTACACTGCCCTGCCATGCTTTGCCTGACAGAATCCCTGTGACTTGTCTGGAAATAAAACAGAGAGCAAGTTGTGTGCGTTAAACATACTGACTCAAACTTTTGGCTGTGCTTCTTTCAAATGCAAGAGAGCGTGTAGTCTTCAGATGCTATAATGTGACAGCAGAACTTGCTTCTAAAATTACAACTTGGCTGATTTTTCCTGATGACTGATGTTTTCTCTTCCATGCATGTGCAATGGTGTGGATCTTACATGAATCTTTAGAGGAGCCATCCATTTCTGGTTTATTGGGCACGGTGGTGGTGATGGGCTGATGGTTGGACTAGATGATTTCAGTGGTCTTTTCCCATCTTAGTGATTCTATGAGGAAAGGCCAAATCCTAAAGCTTCTAATCAGAAAAACAGTTGGCCTAAACAATGACTTCAGAATTTGATCCCCACTCCTTAACTTGTTTAGCAATAATGTATTAGAAACTTACTTTAAAAAAATACTTTATTAGAATGTCCTGTCTGAGATTGAACTCTTAAATGGCTGAGGGCCTAACCTAAACATAGCACTGCACGCATTAATAAATCCAAGTTCATTAACACTTTAAATCTGGGTCTTGGACTGTTGCGTCACACTGAGTGATACAGTACAATGAACAGAATGACTGGGTAACCTAAAAGCATCCCAGAATTTATGCTTTTACAAGACAGTGCACACAGCTCGAGTGTGAAGCCCAGCATGCTTGTATACTGTATGTCTTGACATTTAAAAGCTGGAAGATATATAAGGTTTAGAAACATTTACTCGGCCAGCAGTATTCCTGGACTTGTTGTCTCTGTTGCCTTGGAACCTCTTTGCTAGGATGGATCTTTAGTTTGTTAGACCACTTCAGCCACTCAGATGGCAACTCAACACATAAAGCTCCTAGACTCTAACCTGCCAATCTCAGCAGCTTCCAGGCCTTATCCCCTGGTTGAGAAGCAGCTTGATCCAAAAGTATTAAAGCAACTTCCCCCTTGCTTTGACCTCAGTAACTTTCAAGTCAGATTCATCCAGTTTTATTCCCCTCTCATTTTCAATAGCATTAATCCCGAGTATCAACCAACTGAAATTAAACATCTAGACCACTCAGAAGTATCTCCTCACAGTCTTACCATGAATCGCTCTGTAAGCACTTCCTAAACAAGCAGAGTTGGCGGTATCAATAGTGTACACTGGAGCATTGAACACATCAGACAGGACCTGGGAAGTATCAGAGCATCAGTTACGCACGTTCATGAAATACAAAGGATAAGCAATCCCTATTACTGCACAGGAAAACAGACAGATAATATACACTCCAGCAAAGCATTTGGGTATCCATGGAAAAAAGTACCAGAGGCAACACTGAGTCTCCTGAACTTGTGACACAATGGAGTGTTGGTAAATCTGACCAATGCAGAGATGCAACTACAGCCAGGAGATTAAGTCCCACTTCTCCTCAGATCTCTTTTCTAGAGGATTCTAATTTCAAGCATCATCTCCCTCATGAGCCCACACAATCTGCCCATGCTAAAGGTCTGCATAAGGGATATCCATTTGGAAACCTGCAACTGATGCCTTTTTTCCTCCATCACTTGTATGGCTGACTCATGCAGAAAGGAAGGAGAGAGGAACCAGCCATGGCTCCCCAGTTCTCAACTTTGATAGCATAAAAGCTACAGTTTGCTAAACCAGTTGTCTTTGCTTCCAGCACTCCCATTATATTAGGGTTAGCAGAAGAATGAAGCATGACCTGATCTCACAGGCTTTACAAATACCAGGAGTTTTCCTGCATTTGAGTAATCCTTAGCTATGAAGACAAAGCAAGGCTGTGTGCTCTCAGCTTGGTTTGGCAGTACAAAGAAAATAACACAGGAAAAGAATCTGTTTTGATATCTGACAGATACTAAGTTATTCCACCATGCATCATTCCACCCACTGCACTGAAATCTACACCAGCATCTCGCATTTACTGAGTGTATGCACTCTTACTAACAATGTAGTTTTAAGAAAATAGATACTGTGGAGGGAAAATGAAGACAAATTTGGACAGGGACACAGAATATTCAAGAACGCTTTACTGAAAATATTCTCAACTTATTCCTTCCAAATTAAACAGATATTTTGGTTTAATCTCCCCAAGGATTGTAGGTGTCCCTCAGGTCACACAAGAATCAAGCAGAAATTCAGATTTAAATTGCAATATATTGTATTACTTTTTCCAAAGTGTATCACCTGATTTACATCAGTATATAAGAATTTAAAATAAGGTTACAGTGTCCATAAACACAAATCAATCAGACTTGTGACCAGCAAAACCCCATCCAGGGATTCACAACCCCTCTGGTCACAGAATAGAATCACAGAATCACTGAGGTTGGAAAAGATCTCTAAGATCACCCAGTCCAATCATCTACCTATCACCAATAGTTCTCACTAAACCATGCCTCCCAATACAATGTCAGAATGTTTCTTGAACATCTACAGGGTTCATGACTCTACCACCTCCCTCTACAGCCCAGTCCAGTACCTGACCACTCTCTCAGAGAAGTATTTCCTAACATCCAACCTGAATCTCCCCTGGCACAAATTGAGGCCATTCCCTATAGTCCTATTGCCAGTTACATGGGAGAAGGCCAACTCCCACCCCACCATAACCTCCCTTCAGTCAGTTGTAGAGTGCAGTAAGGTCACCCCTCAGCCTCCCGTTCTCCAGGCTAAACAATCCCAGCTCCATCAGCTGCTGTTTATGAGGACTCTGCTCCTACACCCCAAAATACTGGCTAGGCCTGATTCCCCTGTTGTCCTGTTGTCACATGTGGTGTGATATCCCTCAAGATGGGGCCCAGGGTTCATCATGGGCCCCATGGCTCCATAGAAGATGACTAAGGAATTCAATTCACATGCTACAGTAAAAAAAATACGCAACATTTTTAAAGGATTTTGTCTCTTTCTCTGAAAGTTTGAGAGATACCTGCAAATAAAAACCTTAGATAATCACGAATTTGGGTTATTTGAAACAAAAGCCATTTAGTTACTAATTAGATTACAATAAAAGCCTCGTCTTACACACTTTTTATGCTCTCTTCTGTTAATACTGCAGTGTCAGTATTGCCTAACTTTGGTTAGTAAGCAAGAACTGAGCAAACAGCGAGCTTCACTGTTAGGGGACAAATGGAAAATTAACCACCGTATCCATTAAAAAGCCCTCTGGAAATTAGGTCACAGAGTGCTAGGTTCAAATATCCATCCTGTCCTGTATGGTTTCACCTCATTCCCCATCTGTTTGTTCGTCTCTTCATCTCAGATAGGTATTCCTTGCCTTATGCTTGAACTTTAAATTCCCTTGAACAGAGGTCTTTTGTGTTGCACCTCTCCAGAGTCTTACACAATGCAGCTCTATTCAGTAATGCTAATAAGCACTGTAATCATACAAATAGTAACTACCTTTTGTGTGACATGATCATGAAATTAAAATTATTAAAAGTTCATACACTCAGTACATTACCTGAAACCACAATCTCTCTCACAGGTAATTTTCGAAGAAACTGTTAAAGATTTTACTGTTACAAATATTTCACTATGTTTCATGTGGTCATTAATCAGGCCCACATATGTTATAAAAAGCTTCCCAGAACAGTGGAGAAAACTGCTCTGCTATAGCTGTAGATTTTTTTTTAAGCACATTTTCCCAAGTTGCCTTTTTTGCTATGTAAAATACAGGAGTTACTGAATGTTGATTAATTAAATGATACTCTTTTGTAACCCTGGAACAAATTATCCAAAATTGACCATGATAAGGGTGGAAGCCGTTATTCTTCATGCAACTGATATGGTTTCTGAGGTTTTGATTAAATTAAAAAGGAGGATCCAATTAACCAGTGATTGAATTAAGTGGACGAAACTGTATTGATCATATTATTTTAAGACACTTCTAATGAGTTTTAAAAGCAGCTCTATTACTACATTTGAAGAGCAAGCACCTCAGGAATCACTCTCATGACCACAAATTTTCAGCTATTTTAAATTACAGGTTACAAAAACATTCTGTTCTCAGCCTTCATTCCACAGCAAGGAGACCCTCCTAGTATCTAAATACTGCTTTAAAAGAAAATATCTATTAATTCAATCCCTTTCTCAACATACTCTTAGTACGTTAAGAAATAGTAGAACTATTTCTGTGGGGACCAATATTTTAAGCCATTAACATACCAGCTAATTTTCCAACATCTGCTTCTTGAGCAAAATAACCAAAGCAGATGAAGTGACATCTACAAGCAAAACATTCCAAATCTGTCCTTTGTGTCCCAATGAGCTCTACATCCCATGGCTCTACAAACACACATTTTAGATAACAGGAGAAAGCAAGGTCTTTGCTTTTCAATCTCCATTTATTCCAACTCATGTTTTGTAGAACAGATCACATTCACTTTGTACAACTGTGCTCACCAAAGAATATGGGGTGTAGCTGAGGCTGACCCCAAGAGTTTCTATTACTAATGGAAATGGACTGGCATCCAGAGAACACAATTCGCCCTGTGCTGACTAACTGGTGAGCTTTGTGGTGTAGCTGCCCATCCCCAAGCTCACTGAGCCTCTAGCCAAAGAGAAGCTTGTTGATGCACTCAGTGGAGTAAACCCAGGATATTCTTGGGACAAAGGATCTTAACCAGTGTTAGCTGTGCAGCAACAGCAGCAGATGAGGAAGATGGGAAGAGAGAGGAGAGACTACACAGAAGAAAAGGAGCTCTACTGATACGTGACGCAATGCCAATCAGAAATACATGTTCAAAAACACCAGGGACAGGGTTTAGAATGGTTCTTCTTCGGTGGATTTAATTGTTTGAGTGTCCAGAACTAGGGTAATCCCTCTCCAGTTTCAGTCTGAAGTCCAGTGCTGACTTTAATGACAAAAACTATAAACATCTCAGGTATCTTACCAAGTCTCTTCTTGGTTTCTTTGCTAATTGATTTGACATAAGCAACAAGAGCTGGAAATCGCCAGTGTTTCAGATACACATCCATAAAACTAGTGAAGTGTAAATATATATATATACACATATATAAAATAAATTTAAAGTTCAATACAAAGTTAGCATTGGTCTCCACAATAAACCTGAGGAAAAATCCTAATGACCTGAAGCAGTTTCACAATCCCATATCCACACCTTCCCACACAGTTACATTGATTTGGATTCCGTGTACCGAAATAAAAATGTAGATATAATCAGCTACTTTAATTTTCTGCTTACCTGCAGTATTTTTTTATTATGGGAAGCTCCACCTGTAGCCAAAATCCTTGTTTGGGGCACTGCAATGCAAAAGAACACACAGATCAGACCGAAAGCGTATATTGTCCAGATCTGCACTACTGAACCAAGCAATGAGAATGAGGAGAGCAAGTCAGATGGTCTGAGCTCTCTCCCTGTTTCTCTAATTTACCACATGTAAAAAGTGAGTACTGTCCACCAAGACTCATTAGAACATTTCCTTAAAAGAGGCAGTATAGGTTTTGCCCATCTATTATTATTATAGCGCTATCAAGTCTGGGAGATTTGCAAAAGAGATATTCAATAAAAAGGCAGAGTGTTATTATACAACAGCTCTGGTTTGAGGTCAGATTGGTTTGGCTCACAGCTGTATATATAAAAGCTGACAGGTAACCTTTAAAACCAGCAATATTTTCCAAACTTATCTCCTCACGACGTTCACAATCAGAGTTCACTGAAACCTGAGCATCCCTACATGCTTGAATGACAAGGAAGCGTGTCAGAAGGTAATTAGAGATGGTCTAAATCAATTCAGCAAAATAAAAAATTACATAAATCTCTATCCAATTAAAAATCATAGATCTGGGGGCAGTGGGAAAAAAAAATCACCCTACACATTCTTTAGTCTTTATAAGAAAGCTACCCTTCCTCATTGTGTTCCTGACTTTCTGTCCAGTGCTTCATTATTTATCTGTGTACATGCTCCTCTGGAGCATGACATCCAACAGGCCATACATCTATCCACAGCCACAACTCAGCAAGGTATTACAAGCTTCAGTAGTTCAAGTATCTCACTGAAATTCTTTAAAGATTTAAAATTAAATGAATGCATAAATACTTCAATATCTTATATTTTAAAAATAAATCTACACACTTAATTACCCTAATCTATCATAATAATAGCAGCACAGTAATATGATCTATCACACTAACACCATTCTGTACATCCTCCTGAAAAGGGAATTTTACTGTCATATTATTTTGTTCCTTTAACCTCATTTTTAACAAAAGCTAAAAAAATATCTTACATCACGCAAAGTAAACTCAGTCAATTTATAGAGGCCCTAAACAACTTGTTGTCATTTGTCCTTAATGGCAAAATCCCTGAAGATAGAATCAGAAACAGAGAAGATGCAACTCACAAAAGGCTCCTCATGACATTTCTTGACCCAGAGTGAGGTTCTCAGGTGGAGTCTAAGACCCAGCTACAGCACTGCACACAGGACCCTATCTTGCTGATAAATTTAATTTTATTTTCCTCTTTGGAGGATATTCAGCGATGCACAAATTGGGTTTTAAAAGCCATTAGGATCTCTGTCAATGTCAGTAAACAAATAAAACAAACAGCAGAGTGATTCCTCAGGGAAAACAAGTTTCAATTATACCGACGCAGAATGACAGATCCCTGCCAAGATTATCACAACAATGTAATAGCACAGAAACCAGTGAAAAGTAACTAGCAAGCCTCTGTTCCTAGAAACCAAGCTGAACTCTAAATGATTTGCCTAGTAGTTGCAATTCTGTCTTGCTAAGCCTTGCTGCGAATATTCTTCTGCAAATTCTTGCAGAAGTATCATATCCAGCATGAAAACACATTTCAAAAACAGCCAGCAGGACAGAATTAGAAACAAGTATGTTTGCTACACTTCACAGGAATTGAAAGCAAGGAACAAGCCATGCTAACTACCCCCTGCCTCTGGAGAGGGGCTTAATAAGCTGCTGGGCTGTCACCATCAGGAGAGAACGGTGCACAAGGCAGAAGGGCCAAAGGCAAGCTGGAATCAAGGGCTGGACAGGAGTCTTCTGCTCATCAATAGGTTGGAAGACTCAGGTTTTGCTTTTATTATATATCTGTGCCATCACTGTAACTTGGAACATTTCAATATAAATGAGTTACCATAAGAAAAGCAGGGGTAACATCACAGTGCATCTATGAGTCTGTATTTGCCCTGCCTTTAGGTGAAGAAGGTACCTAACAAGAGGGGAAGCAGAGTTAAATCTAAAGGTGTTTAACACCCCTATCTTAATCCTGACTAATTCTTCTGTAGCTAAACACTAGAGAATTATTTCAGAGTACAGTGAACCTAGTTGACAAAAGAAACTGATGCAGATTGTGCTGTGAAGTTTCAACTCTTGGTTGGATATTTCAAGTTCTAAATTGAACCAACAACCAATACAAACACATACAGATGCAAGGAAAAGAAAAGAAGGCATGTCCTATACACGAAGGGTAAAATCATTAATTTTCCTTAACTAGGATTGTTTGCTTCACTGAAACGCATCCCAGTGGGTACCAGCTTCATGAACCTTAGCCATTGCTATCTGACAAGAGAACCTGACCCACTGTACTGGTGGGAGTGGTCCATCCAGACGTGAGGAAGAGTGACCTCAGTGCTCAGCATTCCCAGCAGCAGCTCCACATCTGGCCGGAGCAGGGACAACAGCTTTCTTGATTGAGTTTCAACCGCTTACTACAAACAAGGAGCCAGGTCCCAAAAGAACCGATCTGAATTAGCAGAATTTTATGTTTCTCTCTTATTTCAAACTCTCCTCCTGAGAGTGCGGGAAGTGCATCGATCACTGATTTCAGGGATTGCCTTTTTAATGCCAATATTGTGTGCTTTACTGAACGGTGGACATTTGCTCTAAGATGTGTAATTGGATACATCTCATAAATAAATAAAGCCCATCATTTATGGATACGGGGGCATTAACAAAGACATCATTCATCCATCACTAGCGGTGTTCTCAGCCAGCTGTGGGTGAATCTGTCAGGAGCTACCATCTATACCCCCTACAGCAGTGCACAGAAAGAACTTAAATACAGTGTTACTAAAGAAAAAAAAACCAACACCAACTGTAGCAAACATAATTCAGGAATTCAATTCTCTGACAGTTGAGAGAATCAGTTTAAACATCTTTTAATTAAAAGCTCCTTGCTCAGTACCTAACCAACCCATTTATTTCCTTCCTGTTTGAAATTTGATGATTTTTTAGAGAGCCAATACAGGATTTTAACCCTGTGTAGAAAGCATTTACAGCTGCTTGTGGCATGGCATTGTCCTGCAATACGCATCACTTCCGCAGCTGTATTATCTGCTGTGGAATACTGTGGCTGATTTAATTAAATTAAAACAGTAATTGCTATGGCTGGGGGAGAGCAGCAGGGAGAAGAACAGTAAAGAAGTTCACTTACATAGCAAGATAGTAGAATCACAGAACAGTTTGGTAGGAAGAGACCTCAAAGATCATCTAGTTCCAATCCCCTGCCCCAGGCTGGGTCAAATCAGGCACTAGATCAGGTTGTCCATGGTCCCATCCAAACTGGCGTTGAGCACCTGAAGGGATGGGGCATAGATGGGAGTACAAGGTACTTCCCCAAACAAGACTGAGAAGCCAGCCCACAGCCAGCTTTTGTTACTGTTCCCACAACAAGCCCCACTATCTCCTTTAGAGATCCAACAGGAAGAACTGGATGATGTTCAAGTTCATCTCTTGGCTCTTGTTTTCAGTCATGATATTGCTTTCACTGAAAAGCATAAGGGGGAAAAAATCTGTCACTGGGAAGACAGAGAAATTAGTTACTTGTATTATAGATATTTCAGTGAAAGAAAGACTGCAGTCCTACGTGGCTGTATATCAACAAACATACAACCGATGCCTTTCCAGAAAAGCAAGCAGTTCAAGTAGAGTAAGATACAAAGTAATGGATGGACTGGAACAAAAATTTTAGAGAGCAAAAACTCAAAGAGCCTAGATGGACTTAGCAAGTGAAATGGGAATCAGCAAGTAAGACAGGCAGTCTCTCCTGAGCAACCCACTATTCCCTGTAGTGGCCTTGGCACATAACTGTATCTATTCAGAAAAAATAATCACATAAGCAAACTCACTTCAATCGGAAGGTTAGTGCTGACGAGTAGCAGCACCAAGGAGGCTGGAGGCAAAAATTCACTCCCCTGCTCTAACAGGAATGGGAGCAGATCAGACTGCAAATAGGTCCAGATGTTAACATCAATGGGAAAACTGCCGGCCTTAAGGCTTTTGGGTTTGGCTGTATTTCAACTGGGCAGTAGGAATGTACCTGCATCAGTCCTGACTTTTGCTAGCGTGTGCATAAAGTCAGGAAGAAGAGCCTGAAGATGGAAACTCTTCAACTGTTCCATCTAAATTTCCATTGCTGTGCACAGCCCTGATTTGTACCCCAAACTCCAGGCACTTGCTGACATTCAAAACTCCTAAAACACATTTCCAAGGCTTCATCCAAACAACTTTATAATGTCTTTCTCATCACAAATGAATCCATAAATAAAACAGAACAATGGAACATGCATTCAAAAAGCATCTGATTACGCACATGAACCCACGCCAGCTATAAGCATGATTGCAAATAACTGCAATTTACAATTTGTAAGCAACAAGAAAAGTGTCAGCCCCTCCGTTATTTCTCTGATTAACTCCAAACACTATAATTTAAAAGAAAAAAAAAATTATTTTCTAGCTTTTCATTCAAGAAAAAAAAACCAAAGCAAGAATACATCATTATTTTGCCTCATTTATAAAACAAATGTTCCAAAATTTTCCTCCTTACATATTAACTCTTCAAAAACTCATGCTAATTATTCTTTTGTTAATACAGTGAAAGTAAGCACCTGCTACAGTAGAAAGCTTTTCCTATCTGTATCTTTGAAAAAGGAAAATTTGCAAGCTACCGAGTGCCCCTTCTGTGACTTTGAGGACGGGGTGAAAGGCACTTGCTTCTGTGCCTCATTGCACTACACTACTTCTGACACTTTCCAGGAGAAAAAAAGACTGCCACAAACAGCTGCAGCACAATAGACATTATCTACCTGATTGAGGTAAGAGCAATGTAAACCCAAACTCTTGTGTTTTTTTTTTTTAAATTGTTTTTTTGTTTGTTTGTTTTAATTTACAGGCCAATGCAACTGCCTGAGTGAATAAACTGCAAGCTGGAAGCCAAAAAATAAAACAAATCCTGCCATCTTTACAGTACTAAAAAGAAGACAGTAATTCATAAGAGCTA